CGAAAGTACTGTATATTGGTAAATATTCAATTCAATTTCGCGCATATTAAAATGACCGCGTTTGTTCTGAAAAAGCATCCGTGAAGTGAATAATCAAGACCAAAACTAAAAAAAAATATTTAACTTGCATGTTGCCTGCAGTGGAATTCGAACCCTGACCATCTCTCGATATCAACAAATTGTGGCATGCATCTTTGCGCACTCAGCTACACCCAGGCATATAAATTTGCTTTCAAATGTTGAATATCCACAGCACGCGATTTGTACGGATAAACACCCTGCAGTACGGGGGAGTGACTACAGGACTGCTGAATCGGTAGCTACCTGATAAACACCGTCAATTACCCACCGACTACTTGCAGTGTATTTCATCGATTACTTTTACAAGGCAATGTCCTAGGCGGTAGTCACCATCGGCTCTCTCTGCACTACCGGGAGTTACTAAAGTAGTCGCTTGCGTGATTTATGCGCGCCCTCTGTCGTAGTTTTTCGCTATTCTACTTACGACTGGTTCGACTTTGCACTACCATGTGCACTACCACGGGTTAATAGAGTAGCTACTTACCTAGGAGTCGGTGCAGTAGCGGTTCAAAAGTAGCGATTGACTCCAGCAGTACTGGAGGGCATGTACTATGTATGAATGTGTGTGTTGTCACCGCTCTCAGAGCGGCGCTCTGCATGCTTGGGGTGCGTATGTACACTCATATATATAAGGGTTGTTACGAATATTCGCATTCGCATTCGCAACCGCGGAGCTTCCGCATTAATTTTAACATTTGCATTCACTTTCGCAATAATCGATGCGAAAATAACAGTTTTTTTTGCCAGTTAAACTTGGCCAAATATTTTTTATTCCCAATTAAAAGTCTTTTCAATAAACAAACCGCTTATCCAAATTAAACAAGCTTGGTACCAAATGAAGGAAATGTCTAAACGAGCAAAGCAACCCATTGAAAAATATTTTTATAAAAAAAATATTAAAATAAAAAATGTTAATTAATTACCATAGAACAAACCTTGGGTCTGGTATATGAATTTCTTTAATATTAAATGATAAAAAAAATGCAAATAGAGGTGGTAACCTTCTTTCGTTATTTCTGCTTAAAAGCTATTTCAGTCACAGAAGAACGGATTAAAAATGAATTATAAAAACTAAAATCGAAAAACGCTGTTGACGTTACAGGTTCTCCAAATTCAGAAACAACCAAAAGAATGAGAATGAAGAATTCTTTGGAAAACAACGGTGTTTAAACAACGATCTTGCCATGATACAAGATTGTGAAGATGGAAGTCAGGAGGATACATCCGACATTTGCAGCCCGATGCAATTCTCCATGAAGAATTATTGCACCGCAATAAAAAAAATAAATATAACTGAAAGACCTCTCAACTGGAGCAGCGTCAATTGAAAAGAATTTACAATTTTGTCAAGTTTTTCAAGTTTGTCGTCTCGAACGAGTAGTTATTTAGTGGCGCAGGTTTGATTTATGACCCTGTAAAAACTTTTTATTGAATGCAATGTTCCAATTTTTTAAATCAAATACTAACCTTTCCATTTCTATATAACTAAATCGCCTAATTTACTTACCTAAATTATTTCTTAACAAGTAAAAATGTCTAAGTTCGGGCGGAGGCGAACATGAAATACCCGGCGCAAGTATTCAATATAGTTTTTTCACCTTTCCGAAAACTACTGCTACATGGTAAGCAGTGGTGGTTTTACGTTTATTTCAAACATCTTCGGTGAGATAAACTTATATAGATATATGTGGGCGGCACCACGCCCTTTTTCCAAAATTCCATATTAATGTTACTTCTTTTCAAGGGATTGTTGTTAGTATCAATTTTAAGTAAAACAAGTAAGAAAGTCTAAGTTCGGGCGGAGCCGAACATTAAATACCCGGCGCAGGTACCGCTACATGGTAAGCCGCTGTGTATAAATTTTGAGTAAATTAGCGTCCTTAAATTTCGAAATATTGAAGTTTCAAGCATTTCTGAAATTTACTGTTATATGAAAAGCGGCCGTAATTTTAGTCCGAATTCAATAATATTCAACGTTTTGCTTCTATGTGGCAAGCACAATAACCACACCGAGTTTGGTACAAATTGGTGGAACGGTTACCGAGATACATACATATATGTGATCATAAGTGGGCGGTGCCACACCCATTTTCCAAAATTTTATCATAAACGTATTTCTTGGTAAAGAATTGTTGCAAGCATCAATTTTGAGTAAATTAGCTTTAATATTTATTGATTTATCGAAGATTTCGTATTTCTCCAAATTACCGTTATATGGGAGGTAGGCGTGGTTATTGTCCGATTTTAAAAATTTTCGGCCATTTGGTATGCTGTAGCAAGACTAACAACTGTGCCAAGTTTGGAAGAAATTGGTCCAGCGGTTACCAAGATATACACATGTATCCATAAGTGGGCGTGGCTACGCCCATTTTCCAAAAATGTATAATATTCTTATTTTTCGTCTAAAAATTATTGTAAATATCAATTTTGAGTGAATAATCTTCAGTAGTTACTAAAATATCGCAGTTTTCGTATTTCGGAAAATTACCGTTATATGGGAGGTAGGCGTGGTTATTGTCCGATTTTGCCCATTTTCAATACCATCCGTCCTACGCCCGAAAGAAGTACACGTACAAAGTTTCGTTAAGATATCTTAATTTTTACTCGAGTTATCGTGTGCACAGACGGACAGACGGACGGACGGACGGACGGACGGACGGACGGACGGACAGACAGTCACCGCTTAATCGATTTCTCTTTTCATTCTGATCATTTATGTATACATTTGTCTATATCTATCTCGATTCGTTGTGCCTGTTACAAACAACCGTTATGTGAACAAAGTTATAATACCCTTGTGCACAAGTGCGCTCGGGTATAATTAGCTTCCTTAAATTTCGAAATATCAAAGTTTGAAACATTTCTGAAATTTACCGTTATATAAAAGTGGGTGTAATTTTAGTCAGATTTCAAAACTTTCAACGTTTTGCCTTTATGTGGCAACCACAACAATCATATCGAGTAAGGGACACAATGATCGAGCGGTTGCCGAGATACACATATGTGGTTATAAGTGGGCGGGGTCACGCCCATTTTCCAACCTTTTATTATAAGCCTATTTTTTGCTAAAGAATTATTGCAAAAATCAATTTTGAATAAATTAGCTTCAGTATATACTGATTTATAGAAGCTTTCGTATTTCTCTAAATTACCGTTATATGGAATGTGGGCGTGGTAATTATCCGATTTTTTTTAATTCTAAGCCATTTGGTATGTTTTGTGAAGGCCAACAACTGTGCCAAGTTTGGAAGGAATTGGTGCAGCGGTTCCCAAGATATACACATGTATTTATGCCCCTTTTTCCAAAAATTTATAATATTCTTATTTTTCGCCTAAAAATGATTGTAAATAGTAGCTTTGAGTGAATAAGCTTCAGTAGTTATTAAAATATGGCTGTTTTCGTATTTCTCAAAATTACCTTTATATGGGAGGTGGGCGTGGTTATCTTCCGAGTTTGCCCATTTTCAATACCATTCGTCCAACGCTCAAAAGAAGTACACATACCAAGTTCTGTTAAGATATATCAATTTGTACTCGAGTTATCGTGTGCACAGACGGACGGACGGACAGACAGCCACCGCTTAATCGATTTCTCCTTTCATTCTGATCAGTTATGTATATATTTGTGCACAAATGCGCTCGGGTATAAAAATACTTGACATCCGCATTCGCGTCCACACCCGCGGATGTTAGCGCTTAAACATCCGCTTCCGCATTCGCATCCGCGGATGTCTAAAATTCCACATTCGCAACATCCCTGATATATATACTCAGATGTGAACAGTCAAATACGTGCGTAATAAATTTTGTATGAAAATATTATTTTTAAATTCGAACATTTTGAAGCGATAATCAAATATAAAGTATTAATTTGTACTATACATTATTTCCCCTCAGTGTACACTGAACTCTGTAGAAAGACATGTTTTTGCCTTCTTGTCCTTGTCTAGCTCATGTATTTCATAATATTGCCGTTTTAAAGAACCATCTGAATTCTCTACTGACAAAGCTTCACAAGGCAGAAAATGTGCATTTTTTGACTTACAAGAGTGTGACATTTTTAGAAACGAACACACAATTTTCTCACCTTTTGCCTTGAATTTAGAATCGGACACGAAAAGAGAAAGGGGCAATCAGAAGGCAACTATTTTGGTAGAAACGATCACCATTAGATATCTAAGCCCTTAAAGTGTTCTGAACTATTTTGTTATAACCAGGGAACGAATTTTATGGAAATTGCCTTTTTTCTGCTAAAGAGATAGAATATATTCGATTAAGAATGTCCACGATTTAGCTTTAGATTCATTCAAGGATATTGAGTTTTATCAAATACGGTGAATGCATAACAAAGGGATAATTTCTTTGTTTACATTTTATGACATTACAGTCAGCTATGAGAGAGCTCGACTGAATTGTCACTTCTTGTTAAATATGCCTTGGAAAATAGTCAAATATGCAAAGTAAAAATTTTTCATATAACGAAACTAGTTCATAGTTTTTCTCTTTTTGATTGTAATATAAACATTTCTAAAATAAATGTATTTTTTTATGATTTTTTTTATTGCCTTCTTTTGCTTTTTTGTGATTTCTAGTGCCTTTTCCTGCCTATTTCGCAATTTTATTTTGCCTCTTCCAGCCTATTTTGTTATTTTATTTTGCCCTTTTTTATAGGTTTTTAGGTCCTAAAAATCCGTTCCCTGGTTATAACCCTTATATCTTTCGAAGAAAATCATCAAGATCGGTGCTCTATAAGATATATGCACATATGTAGGTATGTAAATTTTGTGATTTAAAAAGCTGAGTACTTTGAAATTGAATTTTTTGACGCAAAAATGAAATACGAGTAAAAGATTAAAGTCGATTTTTTTATATTCATGAAAGTTGCGAAGCCCTTGGCATAGCCGAAGACAGCACTGTAATTAATTGTTTATTATGCACTTACATTTATATAATGGAAAATACTTATTTCTGAGTAATTTTTTCTACAAAATTTTTATCAAAACGGCAAGAGCAAGGAGCTTAGCTGCAAAGTAGTATTTCAGTAACTTAATGATGGTAGTATTGTTGCTCTTCTTGATGAGGAGCTTCGTAGCTTGTATGGACAGTGGCCTGGTGTTGAGCTGGCACTGCGGCATACGCTTGAGCAGTAGCTGGAACATGGTGATATTGTACAGGTGCAGCAGCGACCACTTTGTGGGTGAGAGGTTCACGTTCTACAACAGCATTGAAGCCATTGACAGAATCTGCGGTATATTTGACAGTGCGGCGGAAACCATCAGCATCATTTAAGGAGTATTCGCCATGGACCACATCGCCATCACGGCTTTCAGATTGGCTTTTAGAATCACCGGACACGGCATCCTGAACATCATAGGCGAAGTTGTACTGAGGATGAGGATCGTCGGGATATTGCTCATGAGCAGGTTGCTGCTTTTGTACCAAGTGAACGGTGTGAGCGGGCGCATGAGATAGATGAGCCACTTGTCCAGGTGCATGGTGATACACAGCTGCTGTTTCATGGTGCTGAGCATGCTCCAAAGGAAAAGCATGCTGCTCCTGCACTGAAAAGATGCCAGCTTGCGCAGTGCTGATTAAAAATGCAGCGACGAAGTACTAAGAGAAGATATACATGATTATGTATGCGTACATAAATTGCTTGTTTCAATAAATTCTCAATCTAAGTTATTCTAACAGATCGCTGACTCCACAGCAATCCGAAAATCATATGTACACTCACCTTGAAAGCCATTTCGTTTATGTGATGGTAATATGTAGATAGAAAAAATTTACAAAATTTGCAGCTTACTTTGTCCTCCCACACTGAAGTCTGTGGCTTGAATACTAATTTGGTGGAGTTGAATGTAAGTTTTTATAGACAATTTTGGCCAAAATTTTGCGCATCGGCATTGAATAAAATAAAATCGGGTGAGCGGTATTTTGCTGCATTGGGCATAACATGCTACTTAAACCTTCACTTTGCCGTTTTTTAATCTTTTTATTACTACGCTTTTTAAAAGTGCAAGTTTTCGTTTGTTTCGTAGACACCACTAAGACCGTGATTTGCACTCTTCACTGGACAACACTTCGTAAGGGAGCTGATGGCTTACCTGTACAATATTGCCGTTGGCGATATTACAAGCGCCGAAATATGTAAGTCTATTTGTATGTGCATGTGCATACGAATAGCTATTGGCCATACCACGCCTTTTCCACCAACGCACGATTGATTAGTAACCACGGATTATTTGTTTTTAATTGCAAACACACATTGTCATAGGGTTAACGAATAATGAAACGAATGAAAGTTGGTCGTTGGAGGAGGGAGATATGACAGAAAAGGTTTCGGGACAAAGTGTGTGCATAAGTACATCTATACACACATCCATATGTAGGTGTGTATGTACATAAGTTTTAAAATACATATGTGGGTCAATCCATGTCAAATCAACCAATAACACTACCCAACAAAATTCTGTTTCCTAAGATATTACAGCGGATTCTTATAGGATTTCTTCCGTAGAATCCGAATATAACCTTAAAGATATTGGATTGGCTCTAGTTTTCGATCAACTTAGGTTTACAGGTGCCGAAAACGCGTTTTAGGTCATATTTGAAACTCTGTAAAACAATAAACTGATGCAATATATCTGTCTTTGTGAGAGGATATGAAAGCTTAAACACTGCCCTTTGATACTGAAAGTCAACAAATTATGGTCCGAACACTGTAAGCAATTGGGAAGAGTTTTTATACAATCGCACGTGTTTTTTTTTAAATCTTATTTTGCTTGTTTTTGATGAATGTTCACAAATTTTATGTTGACTAAAATATTATAGCCTATTGGTATAGATAGCATTTTTTCCGTAGAACCCGAATATCATCTTGAAAATTTTTCAAGCAATTAAAGGTGCCGAAAAACGGCAGATCCATTTAAAACAATTGGTGAAAAACGTGCAAAACAAGGTTTTTGTGTAAAACAAAAATCGTACGCGCTTGTAAACTTTTCTTAATTGCTTTCACTGTTCTGACCATAATATTTTGATTTTCATTATTAAGTATTTATGCTTTCATGCCCTCCCACACAGACAGATATATTGCATTCATTTATTATTTTACAGAGGTTCAAAAATGACCAAAAACGGGTTTTTCGGCACCTTTACACCTAAGTTGATTGAAAACTAAGGCCAATCCAATATCTTTAAGGTCATATTCCGATACTACGGAAAAAATCCTATAAGAATCCGCTGCAATATCTTAGGCAGCAGAATTTTGTTGGGTAGTGTTATTGGTTGATTTGACATGGATTGACCCACTTATGTACATATACATATGTATGTGTGTACATATGTATTTATGCACGCACTTTCAGATTCGGATTCTACGGAAAAAATCTTAAAGAATACAACATAACATTGTTTAAAATTTGTTGGCCTGTGTAATAGATGGATTTTGGTCAGAACTTTAATTTTATCATATGTATAACAAAGACCTACCAAAAAAAAAATAGTGAAAGTTATGCAAAATTCAAAATATCCGAAATTTGCTGGTTTATTCTTTTAATATCCCAAAAACTATTGTAGTTACAAAAAATATTCCTGGGATCGTTTTAGAGGTGGTGTTTGGGGCTAAAAAATTTGTATGTGAAAATAAATTATGTCTGGGGCACACATGTGGTATAGAAATTACAATTTCAATATTGTAGTTTGCCGCTGCTACTAGGGATGTTTCGAATGATTCGCATTTTCGGAATGCGAATGCGAATGTTAGGAATAACATTAAAAAAGCTATAATCAACATAAGTCATCGTTTTTATTAGCAAGTAAGAAAGTCTAAGTTCGGACGGAGCCGAACATTAAACACCCGGCGCAAGTACTAATACATGTTTTTCACCTTTCCGAAAGCCACCGCTACATGGTAAGCCGGGGTGTTTCAATTTTGAGTAAATTAGCAACCTTAAATTTCGAAATATTGAAGTTTCAAGCATATCTGAAATTTACCGTTATATGAAAAGCGGCCGAAATTTTAGTCCGATTTCAATAATTTTCAAAGTTTTGCTTTTATGTGGCAAGCACAATAACCATACCGAGTTTGGTACAAATTGATAGAACGGTTACCGAGATACATGTGATCATAAGTGGGCGGTGTCACGCCCATTTTCCAAAATTGTATCATAAGCATATTTCTTGGTAGAGAATTGTTGCAAGCATCAATTTTGAATAAATTAGATTTAATATTTACTGATTTATCGAGGATCTCGTATTTCTCTAAATTACGTTATATGGGATGTTGGTGTGGTTATTGTCCGATTTAAAAAAATTTCGGTCTTTTGGTATGATGTACCAAGGCCCAACAACTGTGCCAAGTTTGGATGAAATTGGTTCAGCGGTTACCAAGATATACACATGTAACCATAAGTGAGCGTGGCTACGCCCATTTTCCAAAAATGTATAATATTCTTAGTTTTCTTCTAAAAATGATTGTAAAAATCAATTTGAGTGACAATCAGACGAATACCGTTGTTTATTGTATACCGTTGTTTATTGGTACCAGTTGATAAGTTTTTATCATTTCTCATAATTATTATTTTTTTTTGAATTTTGACGTAGAATATGTCTTACGTTTCGATATGGAGGCTATGCTCAAATGTTGTAGTTGTAATTTTTAGAGATTCACGAAAACGCTTATTGCATGAGAACTAATGAAGCGATTTCAAAGAAAAGTGTGCCATTTCAAAAGACAAAATTCCAAACCTATGGACAGATATATTTATGTAAGTAACCGATCTGGTGTCTGTCGTAGAAACAACGGTAAATATTGGCTTATTTTGGGGTCAATTTTGAGCCTTTAAAGTGCTCTAGCAACTTATGGTTGGCAGATGTTACTTTCATTTTCGGTATATAGGTTCCTTGGAGCAATAGAAATATTATCGTGTAAAAATTTTATATAAATTCAACAAATAACTAGCCTTTACAGGCAAGAAATTGTTGAAAAAATTTCCAAATTTTTTTTAATACCAAAATGCTCGAAAACCGCTCGAATGATTTTGTTTTTGTTTTTGTTTTCTTTAATCAAAAACTCAACAGTTCTCCTTTCGTTTGGTATATGGGAAGTATTGGTTGATATCTTGTAAGTATATATTTGATTCACTTCGTCATCAATTTGCAAACACGTGCATGTGTAAAAACAGTTAGGTGCTGGCAGAGACAAAATCAGATTGCACAGGTGAGGGGAAATATCTACAGTGACGAACAAACTTTTTATTTCAGCCTCCGCTATCTTTCCAAGTTCTAACGACATTCATACTTTTGTTGTATATTCTTATTGGTACACTCCTACTCCCTCTCTCATAAAGATTTGAAGTCAATCCAACAACAATAATAAAACCAGTAGACAAAAATGTAAATTAAGGCATATGTTACAGTTTTGCACTTATATATTTTTAATAACTTTTTGACAATTTTCACGAAAAAAAAGAATTGTTAACACGATGTTCAATACACTTTTGCTTTTTTTAGTTCCTGGATGCAATTTGGCATACCTTATTTGTATCTCTGTAAAAATTCTGGCGGTATAGCGTCCCATATATCCTTGGTTTGCTTTCATAGCTCATGTACTCCATTGGACGGACTTGCATACTTAGTAAGATACGCATTTAGTTGATTTAGCAAATTTTCGACGAGATTCATATCCGCGGATTGTGGAGGTACTGCGTACTAACGGACCAACAATATTTTTGAAATACAACCCCAAACTATTATTGACCGACCACTGTGATTCACAGTTTGCCTTACATGATGCGCTTAGACTTAATTTGGGTCTTCCAATACCATACCCGGCCATCTGATTGAAAGCGATGAATTTATTCTTGTCAGACCAACTAACCTTCAATTAAATCTTAAAAAATGTGTTTTTTTATTGCATTCTGTAAGGCTTAAGATATCCCAATAGGCAACGGTCCGGTTTTCGTGCGATCCGGCAAAATGATACCACTCTCGCACATGTATTTTGATCAAAATCGTGTTTTCTTCTTTTATTATGCCTTTGCGTTCAATTTGACAATTCTTCGCCTCGCTATCTACTGATTTGCATTCAATTTTAATACCTTAAGCGCTTCGGTAATAGTGGCTGCAGCGCTACTTGCTACTAAGTTCACAAGATATCGGACCGTAATATTATTTGGCAGACTTACTTTGTCCTTAATAACATTTTAGGCTATATTTTTTCTCAGTCTTAACATTTTCACGTGGCGAGCTCCATAATTTTTTCCACTTTTCCTACGGTCCCGCGTTTCCGCAGTAAATCTATTATTTACATTTATGTTTCCTGATTAACCATATTGTTTACTGGTAATCACTTCTTGAATAAATTACAATACAGAAAAAAGTCCTCTGACTTCCAACTAAGTAAAAGATAACTGTAAAATGCAAAACTGAGTGTGAGTGCAAAACTGTAACATTGGCCTTAATTTACATTTTTGCCTGCTGGTTTTATTATTGCTGTTGGATTGACATCAAATCTTTATGAGAGAGGGAGTAGGGGTGTACCAATAAGAATATAAAACAAAAGTATAAAAGTCGTTAGAAGTTGGAAAGATAGCGGTGGCTGAAATAAAAAGTGTTACACCATGTTACAGTTTTGCTCGTCACTGTGTAAGCTAATCGCAGCATATTTTGTACCCATGTACCTACATACATATGTATCTACATACATATTATAGATATGTAGGCTGAGTTCCAAACCGTCAGTTCCAAAACAGCTATACAAAGTCACGCATTTCTAAATGCAAATGTGTAATTTTTGACGATGTGTCATGTCCCAAAATGTATCGTAAAAGTTATCGATGCGTATACAGAAAGCAAACTGCACATCGCTAAGCTAATTGATACTTTGATGACATTTTGAAGTAAACAATGGCTGACGTCGAAGGGTAAGGCTTTCTGCACATTGGTCGTCCAATCATAGTTACTTCATCGTCACAATCATGATGCAACGATTACATGACGTCTACATTTTCGCTCACTCGTT